TTGATATATTAAATGTTTGATTTAATTAGGGCCGTTGGATGATTAGAATCCAACGGCTCTGATTAAATCGTAAATGGGAAACAGGGTCGTTTTGGTTTCATGGGGCAAGACCGGTTCAGGGGCGGGTCAGGGTCGAATATGGATGATGGGGTGAAGTTCTGGTCATTGGATGTAGATGAATGGACGGTTGAGATCTGTTGAAATCGAAATGACGTAGTTCTGTCCCTATACTACGTCGTTTCATTGGTCTCAGAGACCTGAAAGTTTGGACCGGGTATGGGCGTATTTTTTTGGGCCTGCAGATTTGGGTTTAAAGAACAACCCAAACTTTGATTTTTCATTTCTTTACTTTTCAAATTAATTCCTTCTTTTCTTGTTTTATTTTTTCAAAAATTAAAATCCTAAATTAAGTTATAAAACCAAAATTAATTTTAAAAATATTAATTCACTCTAAATTATAATTAACACGAATAGTTAGACACTAAATTAAAAGAAAAGCACACAATTTGACTAAAAATATGTTATTATTTTTTTTTCATTTTTGTAAAACTCCTAATTATTAATTAATCCAAAAAATAAAAAATCAAATCCTAAATGCAGATACTATATTTTTTTGTATTTTTTAATGTGTTAATAAAATTAAACATGTACCTAAACATACGCAAATAATCAGAAAAATAGCGTAATAATTCCTAAAAATAACACATAATTAAAAAAAAGACCTAATTTTGGGAATTCTTTTGGAGTAATTCGTATGAGGCAAAAATCACGTGCTCACAATTCCTATTTGTGAAATGAAAATACTTTTGAAATGAATAATTTTTCCTAATTATATTTGTATCAAAATTTTATGAATTGTTATTTATAATTGTCTTTTAGGCTATCAAAAAGGTTTTCCTCTATCGATATCAAGGGAAAAGGGAGAGGAGAAGAGGCGTATGGGGCAACAAATGAGCGAAGATTTTACGGAAAAGGGTCATATTTATCCCTGTACTCTTTAAAAATAGTTATATTTGTCCTTCGTTATACTTTTTTGATATATTTATCCTTACCATTATACTTTAGGATCATACTTGTCTCTGTACTCTTCAAAGAGGGTTACATTTGTCCTTTGTCATACTTTTTGACATATTTATCCTTACACTTATACTTTAGGATCATATTTGTCCCTCATCCATTAAATCCCCATGTCCCACCTTTCTTTTCCTACATGGTGCCTATATGGATTTCTTTTTCCTCCAATTTAAATATGGTGAACTATTTAAGATAATTTAATCCGTCCACCCAATTTAACCATAAACCATAAACCATAATTTGGTTGTCTGCACTTATTTGTGTCTTTGGGCAGCCAATATATAAAATATAGTGGCTTCATTCTGATAATTCACATTACTCTAATATTATTCGTCATTGTAGATTTATGTTAAACCAGGTCGAAGATAAGGGGTGGAGCTAGAGTATTAGGTATGGTTTGAATGAACTCTATAGCTTTTGTTTAGATTTGTGTTCTATTAGGAAATACATTAAATATGCATAAATATTTAATTACGAACTTAATAACTAAAATGAGCTATGAGCAAGATCAGAACCCATAAACTTTAAATCATGACTCTGCCATCCAAAAAGTTGAATTATTTAGATATACTTTTTTAAATATGTAATTTTATTTTATTTTTGAAAAACATGAAAATTATATACCCAAATCACAAAAAAAAAACTAGATGTTTTGACCCTTGTAATCGAATTCTTTCATATAAAATGAGAGGAGGGAGCAATATTTTCTTTTCGAGAAAAAATATGTTTGAGGAAACCATCCTAGACAATATTAGGCTTCTGGCAATGCTCTATTTTAAGCACGGACCTTTGTCATTAATTCCATTGTTGTGCAACTTCTCGTAATTTAATTTGGTTACTGCAATAATTGTAAGCTGTATCAGATTAGTGATTTTGAGTTCAAAGTTCTTGTTTGCCAATATGTTGCCGCTGCTGTCCGAAAAATATGGAGCTAAAAAAGAACATTAGCTAAAATAGGTGACCATATTTAAATTGGGTGGGCGGATTAAATTATCTTAAATAGGTGACCATATTTAAATTGGAGGAAAAAGAAATCCACATAGGCACCATGTAGGAAAAGAAAAGTGGGACATGAGGATTTAATGGACGAGGGGCAAATATGATCCTAAAATATAAGTGTAATTATAAATATGTCAAAAAGTATGATGAAAGACAAATATAACCCTCTTTGAAGAGTACAAGGACAAATATGATCCTAAAGTATAATGATAATATCAAAAAAGTATAATGAAAGACAACTATAACCATTTTTAAAGAGTACAGGATAAATATGACCCTTTTTCCGAAGATTTTATGGTTGAACGAGTGTTGAAAACAGCCACGTGAGAGCGGAATGGACGGAAGGGACAAAAACACAACAACATAAGCAAAAAACAATAAAATAAAAGTGGTCACTCAAAAGTCAGAAGAGTCAGTTCATCTACTGATATCAGGAGTTGTCTATGCCCCGACTCTTATAATTCTAAATTGTTACTCCGTGCATTTTAATTTAGATTATGTAGTTTGACTTGGATACGAAATTCAGAATTTTTTTTTAAATTTATGGTCTTGTAATTTTAAGAGGTACAAAATTTTGTGGGGCCATGATATTTGTGTGATTATAAAAACTTCTTATTCAGGATAAATAGATAAAATGAAAAGTTTAAAGTTAAATTATTTTCAATTGTAGAAATATGTCATTCTTTTTTAAATGGACTAATAAGTAAAATGTGTCATCCAAATCAAAACAGAGAGTATTGGCTAATAATTCCTGCCTCTTCTCCAATCGCAATCCTTCTCTTCTATTGATTCACTTTACTCCACCAACAAAAAATACTCCTCCATTCCCTTCCCGGGCCGAATTTCCCCCTCAATTTTTTTTCTTAATTTATTTGACCCATAAATTAAAAGTATTTGAAATGGATGAAGTTTATTTAAAAATATTTACTTTTGTACCGAGAGGAGCCGAAAATAAGTTAGCTCAACAATTGAGAAAAGGTAAAACTTAACTATTTCGAAATATAGAAGTCAAGAATCTATTTCGAACAAACAAAAGGAAAAGGTACGAAACAAATAGAGACAAGGAATAAAAAGAGTAGTCCAGTGTATTAAACTCGTGTTACACACTGAAAGAGAAAAACTGCATTAGGTTAGTGTATGTTGCCTCACCTTTCATACGCTGCTTCGGTAATTTGAATTTGAATTTGTGACGTCCTGATTACGCCATGGCAAATCTTACCGTCGCTCTAAGATTTCCTTCAAATTGACAAGGACTATCTAATAAAATTGAGATTTATGTTGTATACTTTAATTGTGTGTAAGTTTGTACAAAACTTTAAAAAAATTAACTTAATAGTCGTTCACTTCATCGCTTAAATAAAAAATATAATCAGTGAATGTAAAATATATGTATATTTCAGGTTTAAATATAGACGTGTATAATCAGCGTATAACCTATATAGATTGATTACAAAAATAAACAACAAACCCTACCGATGATTTGTCTAAAATTCCCAAACTTTATAACATAAAGAGAAAAGAATAATTGCTTACACTTGCAGGGATAAGTTGAAATATGTGGATCATCCAACTATATTCCTACGAAAGAAATTGATTAAATAATATTTTAATTTTACTCTTAATAACATGCTTTGTTTGAACCAATTAAATAAAATTATCATTCTTTTATCAAAATAAACGAAAAAAATATATGTAAAACTATCAACGGAACTCATTTAATAATTGATAGTAAGGCCGATGTTGGTACTTTTTGAAATGTATATCTTTAGCTTATAATGCGTCAAAAGTAACATCTTCGCATAAAATAAACTAATGAAGTAGTATTAATTTTACTTAATAAGTAGTATTAATTTTACTTAATAATTATCTCAAATCACTCTTATAACGAAAAAGAAATGCTGACCACATCAAATTCCACGTCTATTTTAAATTTCTCTCTATTTTTATGATACAAGATGTGTTCAATACGCATTAAAAAATGTTTTAGTCTTAGAAATTATGTTCTTCTTTTTATTAGATAAATATTTTGTCTAAAGACGGAAGCTAACCCTTGTGCACTCACCAACTAATTTGTGTTGTCTTAAAATTATGTTCCAAACTTATAATCTCATCATTCATAAAGTATGTACTTGTGCATTTGTTATCAGTAGATGTGGCAAAATGGTTAAAAGAAAACAGTTATCCACCCATATTATTCATAAAAAAATAGGTTGGATAATGAACTATTTAAAAACGGGTCGAATATGGACCACTTAGAAAAAAGTTAATCAAATGTATAACCAATGGATAACTTATGTGTTTAACTTTTACATTTGTAATACATCAAATTGGAGTTCCTCAAGTTTTGAACACTAGGAATTCTCTTACAAGTGATCATATTTAAAAAGCCATGGATAATATGGATATCCATATTATCCGCCGGATAAACCCGTTTTTATTCGTCGGGTCGGATAATTTGTTCTTTTTTTAAATTACCCGTTTTGACCCGCCCGTTTGCCACTCCTAGTTATTAGTTCCATCACGACCTCTTTCTCTCTCTCTCCACTTATGTTGATCCCAACTTCTTAAGTGGACGTTTGGACATAAGAATTGTAAAATTTTGAAAAAAATAATTTTTTTCAAGTGAAAAAGCTATTTGAAAATTAGAGTTGTATTTGCACATGAATATATTTTTGGGTTGTTTTTAAATTTTTGTAAGTGATCTGAAATAAAATTTTAAAGAATAATTTTTGGAGTTTTTCAAATTTTCAATAAATTTCAAAATTCATCTTCTAAGTGTGAATTGAAAATCTTATGGACCAAACATTGATTCAAAAGAAAAGGTGAAAATTTTTGTAATTTTTTTTATGGTCTTCTCCTACATGTCTAAGGTGGACCTCCATTTCCCTCCACACTACAATACTCTCTATCTTCTCTATCACCAATTTCTATTTAAACCCTTCCCTCTTTCCCTTTCTTCCCAAACCTCTCTTTCCTTTCTTATCTCCCTTCGATAAAATGGCTTCTACACCTGCAAATTTTTATACATGGGCTAAAGTCCAAGTCCCTCATCCCTTTTCATCGTCTAATTCCTCTACTTGTTCACCTGTTGATTTGGGCTTTCCTTCAAAATCCATCTCCATGAGAAAGCCCACTCCTCGAGCTAAAATTCAATGCGCTCTCCACTCCCCTGCTGTTCTCACTTTTCCAAAACAACCCTATCAATATCCAACAATTACCAAAAGGGACACCCCTTCTCCCCCGCAACCTGCCTGGAATCTCTTTCAGAAAGCCGCTGCAAAAGCATTGGACATAATGGAGAGCGCGTTGATCTCACGCGATAAGCAGAAACCGCTCCCAAAAACCTCCGATCCTGGCGTTCAAATAGCCGGAAATTTTTTTCCGGTGCCGGAAATGCCTGTCCGGCATAACCTTCCCATTACCGGAACAGTACCCGATTGCATTAACGGCGTTTACGTACGTAATGGCGCTAACCCGCATTTTGAACCCGTTGCCGGTCACCATTTATTCGACGGTGACGGCATGCTTCATGCAGTCACCATTAACGGCGGTTCAGTGAACTATTCGTGCCGGTTCACTGAAACCGAAAGACTAGTTCAAGAGCGTGGATTGGGTAAATCGGTTTTCCCGAAAGCCATTGGTGAACTCCACGGGCATTCTGGTATTGCGCGTCTTCTCCTCTTCTATGCGCGTGGACTTTGTGGACTCGTAGATCATAGTCATGGAACAGGCGTGGCTAACGCCGGTTTAGTTTACTTTAACGGCAGGTTATTAGCCATGTCAGAAGATGATCTTCCTTATCACGTTGCTATTAAGCCTTGCGGCGATTTACAAACAAAGGGGAGATACGATTTTGACGAGCAACTCAAAAGCACAATGATAGCTCATCCGAAAATCGATCCGGTTTCTGGCGAGCTATTCGCTTTGAGTTACGATGTTGTTCAGAAGCCGTACTTGAAATATTTCAAGTTTTCCAAAAATGGGAAGAAATCGTATGACGTTGAGATCCCACTGGACGTTCCAACAATGATGCATGATTTTGCTATTACTGAAAATTACGTTGTGATCCCTGACCAGCAAGTGGTTTTCAAGCTTCAGAATATGATCAAAGGTGGCTCACCAGTAATCTATGACGAGAAGAAGAAATCTAGGTTCGGGATTTTACCCAAAAATGTTAAAGATTCAAATAGAATTATTTGGGTCGAGTCACCAGACACATTCTGTTTTCATCTTTGGAATGCATGGGAGGAACCAGAGAATGACGAAGTTGTAGTTATTGGCTCGTGCATGACTCCACCTGACTCAATTTTCAATGAATGTGATGAAAATCTGAAGAGTGTACTGTCAGAAATCAGGTTAAATCTGAAAACTGCTGAGTCCAGAAAACGGGCAATAATTTCATCAACGGAACAGGTGAATCTTGAAGCTGGAATGGTAAATAAAAACAAACTTGGCCGTAAAACACAGTATGCTTATCTTGCAATTGCAGAGCCATGGCCAAGAGTTTCAGGATTAGCAAAAGTAGACCTGTCAACTGGGGAAGTTCAAAAATACATGTACGGAGATACAAGATATGGAGGAGAGCCACTATTTTTACCGAGAAATCAATGCACAGAAAAGGAAGATGATGGATATATTCTTGCATTTGTGCACGATGAAAAAATATGGAAGTCAGAGCTGCAAATAGTGAATGCCATGACTCTTGAGTTGGAGGCCACTGTCAAGCTTCCTTCAAGAGTTCCATATGGTTTCCATGGGACTTTCGTAAGTAAAAAGGACTTGGAAAATCAAGTATAGTGGATAAGGAGAGTTATGTTAAAAAGTCTTATTTGTGTGCGTATATACATATATAATAAGTAGTATAATCAAATGTGTGTATTAGAGGAGATCAGAGATGCCTGAGGGAAGATTAGCTAATTTAGAGAATGTCCCCGAACTCTCTCCTCTAGCTTAATTTTAATCTTAACATGTCATTTTCTTAGGGTTTTTTTTCGGGGGGGAGGGGGGGGGGTGGGGGAGTAAGAGAAATTTCCAGAAGCCAAGCTTGAAGCTTGTAGCATAATTAGAAGCTCGGCTGGTTTCTGTTTTTTGTTTGGTTTTGATCCAAAAACATTGATATGTAAATTAGTTCTTTCCCATCGTACATGATTGAACACTACTCCGTATTATGTATAGAACAACAGTACTCTATAATCTCCTTATCTTTTCCAAAATAATCTCAATATCTTATGAAGTATGACTTTATTACCAAAGTGTTCGCCCTCCATTATTTACTTGATCTGCAGAACTAACCAAAATTAGGTAGTGAATAATTGAATCCACCGTGAAAAAAAATACTACTACTAATAACTGAATCCACCTGATGGGAACAACTAACTTTGGAAATTTGCAATATACTTATAGAATAGATGCAAGAACACCATTGAAGAGATTTATATAACTTGGTCTTAGTATAATTTTTGAAAAACTTATTACGTAATTTATTTAAGTTTTGTCACGACTCAAAATCTCACGAAAGATCATGATGGCGCCAACCTGCTCGCTAGGCAAACCAACACTCAACCAACAATAATAAAAGCATATTTATTAAGTCTTTAGTAGAATCATAATAGAAGCATATTTATTAAGCCTTTAATAGAATCATAACATAATATGAACACGGAAATAGTCTCACAACCAATATCATAAAATGTAAATATCTGAGATAGGGCCTAAACACGACGACAACTATCTAAAAAAACCCAATATCTGATGTCACAACTATCACAAGCATCTAGCAAGAGTAAAGAGTGGCAACCGAACAACAATATCTATCGGAAAAGAAATAGATAGACAAAATAGATAAATAGGGAGGGGGATTCCTTGTGATGCGGATCGGCCAAGTAAAGCAGCTCACCACAAAGTCTGTACAAAGATCTCCTACTCTGCTGGATTAACACCACTAATAAACATCCTCAGAACATGCAAACAATATGCAGAAGTGCAGTATGAATACAACATCATGATTCAAGTAAGTAACAAGTCTAGCTTCGAAAAAGTAGTGGCGAGGGATTGAGAATAAAACTCAGTAATAGTCTAATAATTACGTTAAAGCATAAATAAGATACAGAATAAAATATGATATCATCAAATGAGTACAAAAGCTCAAAACATAGTTCATACATATGCTTTATAATTAAAAGAGATCAAATAAGATATCAATATCTCAATCCTCATATGCGACCGCAGAACCATCGCAGATTGAACCACGAGAAGATAGATTTTGCGGGCCATTTTGTGGTCCGATGTGCGATCGCAGATTCATTTCGTGGTCCGATGTGCGGTTGCAGATTTATTTCATAGACCGCATAGCCATCGTATATCAGCACGGAAAAAGTTTTGAAAGGATTCCACGATCCAATAAGTGACTGCAGAATCGATTCGCGGACCGCAGAATCAGTCGTACACTTGAACAAGCCAACCCAGATTTTTGTATACCATTTTGTGATCCTGTTCATGGACCGCACATCACTTCTGCGATCGTATATTTGATTCGTTGGAGCATTTTTGAGAATTTCTTAATCCGACTCTATTTTGATATAATCCTTAAGGGGGTCATTATTGTTGGAGAATCAACTTATTTTTAGAAAGGCAAAATACTCTGGGGGGGGGGAGGGGAGATCCAATAATTCTATTGCTTAATTCTTGCTCAATCTTGAAGATTCAAAAAAGCTACGTACTAGGTCTTCAACCAACTAAGTAAGTATTTGCTCCTAAACTGTCATGGGAAGTTCATAATGGGTTTAAGTACGGATTCTATTATTGTGGGGCTTATGAGATGGTGATTGGAAGTCATAAGCCCTCTAATTCAAAATTTGGAGTGTATAAGAAGAATGTGAGGTATGGTTCTCAATTTGGGGGTGTGTCATTGGGGATGCATGTATCGATGAAGGTAATATGGAGGTTGTTGGATTGTCATTTGAAATTGGTTGTGGGGTGAAGGAATTCCATTATTGAACCTCGTAGCAGAATTTGCACGCTTAGTGCTTGATGAAATGCCAATAACGGCTAAGCCTATGAATGCCTCCCTAATATATACATGTTCAATATGGTTATATTTATATAGATTGAAGTTGCCAAAAGTAGGGGTATGCTGTAGTAATTCTAAGAAAAGCTCAATCAAGGTATGTTGGCTAAACTCCTTTCGTAGAATCGGATTTCACGAATTCCTCGTGAAATCCGCACACTTCATTCTAGTGGTGACTTCCTATTCTATAGAGCGGTTGGCTCAGATTTACATTCGAAAGATTAGACGCTTTCATGGCATGCCCATTTCCATCATTTTCGACTGAGGCACGCTATTCACATTGAAGTTTTGGAGAGCAGTGCAGCGAGAGTTGGGCATACTAGTTGAATTGTACAACATTCCACCTCAGACGGTCGGGTATTCTGAGCGTACTATTCAGATCTTGGAGGATATGTTACGTGCATGTGATATGGATTTCGGAGGTTCATGGGATAAGTTTCTTACGTTGGCAGAGTTTGCCCACTGTTGCACCCTATTTTGCATAAGTCAAAACAAGATTCAACTTGTGATTTCTCTGTTGTTGATGAAAGAGAGTCGCCACCTAATATTTTGAAGGTGCACTAGTGTACCTATTTAATTATTAAAGGTCATATTCTTTATTAGTCTTCTAACCGGTGAGATTATGGGTAAAGGTTCTTGTTCTTTTAAGGCGAAGGTGTTAAGCACCCCTTAAAATTTACCTGAAGTAGCTCCATAGGACTTAGACTAGATTTAGGACTAACTGATTGTACTATTCTTTAACTAGTGTTCAAAAGAGTGTAACTTACCATATATTAGGACNATACTGTTTACCGTGAAAATGATAACAATTATTAAATTTGTAAATGGGATTATAAAAATATGTGATCTATTTTTATGCTAGTTGTTCGAGTAGATGATGCTAAGAATATGAAGTCAAATAAGTGCAAGCTAAAACGAGACAGTGATTAGACCGAGTGGCTTACAACCCTGGCTTCGGACTGGTCGATGGGGGACCTCGAGGTCGATTCATGGGCTCGATCTCGAGCTATTGGGGGTAGTCAGGAATGGGATAATAGTTAAGATATGATTAAACAAGGCTCTTTGTGGCCAATACCAAGCAATGAATGAAGAACAAACGGGAGAGCAGTAAGTGCTAATGTGGCCTCGTGCTAATAAGAACGAGCAAATTAGAAAGAAGAAAGAGAGAGAGATATTATTGATATTGTGTAGAATCGTTGGAGCAACATCAGCCCCTTACAAAGTGGAATGGATTCCCCTTATATAGTAGAGGGAATACAATATAGTACAGAGTGCATTAAGTGTAAAGATACGGGGATGGGACGGCTAGGCACGATGCTAGTGTTTGCTGATTCTAGGTGCTCGCCTCGGGAATCCCCCATCCTCAAAATCTTTGCTGTGTCACGGACGAACCTCGAAGGAGGGAGCTCGATCGTAATCCTGCAGCCTCGAGATACTGATATGACTCCCCGAATGCACCTTAGCAGCAAGAAATAGACCCCTCTGATTTCACCGCATACACATACACACAACAACAACATACCCAGTATTATACCACATTGTGGGGTCTGGGGAAGGTAGTGTGTACGCAGACCTTACCCCTACCTTGTGAGGATAGAGAGACTGTTTCCAATAGACCCTCAGCTTAGGAAATCATAAGCACCATATTTAATGAAGATATAGACAAGAAGGGACAATACCATAAAGCCATATAAAAGCAGAATAAAAACAACAAGACAGTAAGGCGATCAACAATGAAAGAAAACAATGGTTAGTCATAAAAACCTACTACCAACCGAAAAGCGAGACTGTATGCCAATACTACTATTATGAACACTTTAGACTACCTACTCTACTACCCTAATCCTCGACCTCCATATCTTCCTATCAAGGGTCATATCCTCGGTTAGCTGAAGTTGCGTCATGTCTTGCCTAATCACCTCTCCCCACCTCTTCTTTGGCCTATCTCTATCTCTCCCTAGGCCCTCCAATGTCAACCTCTCACACCTCCTCATCGTGCGTATGAAAAAAGTGTAAAAGAGAAGTTAAGTTAAAGCACATTATTTCCTAAAACATGGAAGTTCATATTACTCAAATGAGGTGAAAGTATTGTGAAAATGAACCTAAGATATACACTTGGTTTCAAATAGTAGGCTTGAAGAAAATTGTTTGAAAGTCTTTGTTTTGGGGCAACAACACATTGATTTTAGAGAGGAGTCGATTTCTTTTTTAGAAAAGTTAAACTCGTGATTCACTTCTAGTTTTTCCTTTTGAAAGAGTGAGTACCACCTTTGTTATGCCCTTGGGCTTTAAAATCTTTAAGAAAGGGTCAACACGGCATAATGAATTAATAACAACTCATGATTAGCGTATGTAGAATTAATTACTAACTAATGCTTCTTTTAATCCTAGGTTTTTAAGGCTTGCCTATGTTATTTTATATTAGCTAAAAGATAAAATAAAGCATTCAATCCAAAATATAATTGTCATATATATGTGAGATAAAATAACAAAAATACAGTAATAGTAACGAGATAATACAATTGTAGAATAATGAAAGCACGAAATAAAGGAGCAAGGGGAAATAAAGGACTCTGGGGTTTGGGTCTCAAAGAGGAAGGCCTAGCAATAACAGGGACGACAACTGACTCTAGACTCCCAAGATATAACAATGTTGGATTTGGGCCTGAGTTCTTTAAGAACTTAGCGGGCCCAAGCATTGTACATGTTCAAAAGGAAAAGAGAAAGCCATTAGAAAACAGTACTATACACATGCCCATATATGAAATTTGTAAACAAGGAATAAAGGAAAGATCACTGGCAGTATTTAAACACTAAAAAAAGTCATACTAATATGATGGTTATGTATAGTAAGTGATCCACATTGAACACCTTTCGTTGTTATTAAACACCAAACCCCAAAAGAATAACAA